CGGCTGTCCTGACTACTGTCAATCAGCCCAAGGGGGACGGTGGGAGTGCATGAGGAAGGTGATAGGAAAGGGCAGCTAAACATTTATTCCAAATCACCACTTACTAGACGCTGTTTTCCACATTATATTGAATTCCAGGTATTTTTATGTAACCTCTGGGGCAACAGCAAAACCCAGGGTCCCTCCTCCCCCGACTAGGATTTGCTTCAATGGGGGGGTGAGTATTGGGGGTGGGATATGGAGAGGTAACTTGTCCACATGCAAACCTCTTACACAGCCCGTCTTTCTGCCCGAGTTGCCAAAGTGACAGGAACAGAGAAGAGAGTCCCGGCAGCTGGTGGGCTGGCAGCAGCCAAGAGCCAAAACTCCTGACACTCTGAAACATGGTCCCTCCAGCGAGCCCCAGCTGTGCCCAAGTGCCCAGCACAGGGCAGGTTCAAGAACTGCCCCCGCGGAGGGCCAAGAGAGGCCAACAAGACCCCAGCAAGCAGAGCCAGCCCAGAAATGTCTTGGGGAACCGACCCAGGGAGCAAGAGGGGTGCTGGGCCATGAAACCCACAAGCTGCTCCCCTGACATCAACATGTTGGGGAAAGTCCTCTCCCCTCTGAGGGACAGACTCAGGTTCCCTCAGCTCAGGCCAGCCTCCCCTGGGGGCATCCGCCCTGGGGGGTCTGAAGCCTGAGTTAACTCCATTCCTGTGCCCCCTCCTTCCTGACCTGGAGAGGCTGAGCTCCCCACCCCTACCACTACCCCCTGTGCATCCCATAAGCCATTTCCCAGCCGCCCTCCCAGCAGCCTCTGCTCTGAAAACACTGAGGACTCGTGGGGTCTGGTGTCCAGACAAGGGAAGGTCTGCAGGCCCTTTGCTCTGGGCCCCCTGCGCGGATGGAGCAGCAGCTGGCTCTAGTCTGCAGGGCCCGGATGGTGACTCTGCAGACAAGGAGGGGAGCATGTGGAAGTCACCGTGGGGCGTGGCCTCACTGGGGCCACACAAACTAGATCCCAGCACAGGGAAGACTCATCTAGTCCCTCTTGTCCATATGGGGAAACTGAGTCATGATGTCACAGGGACCTGCTTAGGTCTCAGAACTAGTGAGCGTCCAGAAAGCTAACCCATCATCCCCTCCCTGGAATCTTCCACTACCCCGTCCTTCCTCCCAAAGCACAGACATCTGCACTCCTAGAAACCCAAGTGACTGGGGAGTAACCCGCAGTCGTAACAGTGTGGTCAGGAGCTGTAACAGCAACAGCAGGAACATGAGGATGGGTGTGGGGGGATCTGAAAATGGGGGAAGGGTCATTATTTTTGTCTCTTCTGCAGCCCAAAGCCAGCCAACTTCCTTGAGGTCAGCGTCGAGGGTTATCTAGAAGAATTAAGTAAGTAAATTAAAAGTGAATTAAGGTTCTTTCAAGCGCAAGAGGAGAAGAGGAAGCGTCCTCGCCCAGGGAGGTACTCACCGGGGCTCCCCGCGCAGGTAATGGACCGAAGGAGGCTCCCAGGTGGAGCCGCAGCCCAGGTTTATATAGGGACGGTGTTGCGCAAGGGGCTGGCGGAGGCTGCTGTCATCACGCCCCTTGTGCATTCCAGGACTGCCTGCCGCCGCCAGGGCACTGCCTACCTGCTGGCTTAATGAGCCCATTAGGGCTCTGGGGGAAGACAGGCTGCCAGGGAATGTCGGAGGGTCCCTAGCACAGAAGGCGGAGAAAGCCCGTGTGCCCACGGGGCTAGGGTCCCGGGCCCTGGCTCCTGGCAGGGCAGCTCCCCTCCTCAGCCCCATGTGGGGCTGCAGGAAATCCCAGCGAGTGGGGACCAGTGGGGATCCCTGTCTCCTGCTGTCTGTTCCCCAGGAACCTGATTCTTCTAGTTGCGCTGCCTCTGAGGCTGAAGCAGTTAGAATCATTCAGACAGAGATAAAAGCCAACTGGAAATGCCAGGGAAGAATCCTCTCAAAACAAAGCCAGGATTGTTCAGCCCTGTCAGTCTGGGGGTGCCTTCTGTCCTAGCTGCTGGGGCTCAGCAGTTAGACACTTGGCTGCTGGAGTGCTTGCTGGGTCTGCATGGACAGGGCTGGATGAGGCTGAGGAAGGAGAGGGGAATGTAGGGGCAGGGGGTCTGCTGTCACCTGGAGAACCCCATCCCCCCAGGTTCTTCTGACTCTGATAAACAGAGCCCCTATTTCTTGCTCTGCCCTGTGGGTTCCCCCTGCTGCCCCCATTTTTTTCCATCCTGGCTGTGAGAAGTCCTGTCCCCGAGCGAGCCCACTAGGATACCCGTCATAAAGGCCCCCCAGCCACGTGCCAGGCAGGCCTGTTCTCCACACCCATGCCACTGCCTGTCCCCGGCAGGGTGGAGGCCCCTTTCAGGTGAGCTTGGAGGGTCAAGGGTGTGCCATGAGCAGGGACCCAAAAGGTCTGGGTCTTATTCCAAAGCCAGACTCTTTCCCTGTGCCTGACGCCCTGCTCAGAACTGGAGATTGTGAGTGAAACTCAGGGCACCAACCTGCTGCCCGCAGGAATAGTGGAAGTGCCCGCTGGAGCCCAGTGCACACTCCACCGCAGGGGGCAGGAGCTGCTTCCTGGGCCCGCAGAGCTGGGCTGTGGCTCCTCACTGAGAGGTGGGGTTGCACATACAACTCTGGGGTCCCACTGCCTGAGATCCATGACCCACTCAGCCCTTGCTTCCCTGCCTCCCTGCCCTCATGTGTGCACAGCAAATAACAGCCCCTGGGTAGGTGTTAGCTCCTCTAAAACCTTGGAACTCCAAGGTTATTACCTATTTGAGGCCACTCAGATGCTGGTGACATCAGTCCAAGGACCAGACACTTTTCTGGGGCAGTGGACACTGAGTGAGCCCCAGATCAGCCCTGTGCTGTTACTATAGGCACACTGGGTTTTGGGAGTGGGTGCTGGACTTAAAAGCCAGCAAGAGTGACAATAATTAGCCATCACCTCTCCACAGAGCAACTTCTGAAGTGAGACAAGCAGTGGTAGGAATCCCCCAGCTCAAAGTCATGAGATCAGCCAGGATGCAGACACTTGCTCAGTGCTTCAGCAGGGCCAGGAGGGGGCTGTTTACTGGACATGTGTGTCTCCCAGGAACTAAATACCGTTTCTCTGACTATTGAGGATCGAGGAGCTAAGCAAATGGGGGCACTGGGGTGTGGGAAGCAGGTGGGCTCTGGATTACACCCCACGGTTTACATCATTTAGTGCTACTTACAGACGTCACATCAGTGTTCACACCATAAGCGGTCAGCACAACCAGCCCTTCACCACCAACATGACCCACATTTACATCAGAACACACAACACCTCCTGCTGTGTGCAACAACCTCCTGAATGCAACAACCTCCCGTTATGCCTGACGATTATTTTACAAAACCCTAATGACAAACTCCTAACTCATTAGCACCTTAGAGTTGTTTTTCTGTCCAAAACAGTTTCACTTTAAAGTCTTTCCTGGGGGCCTCCCTGGTGGTACAGGCGGCTGAGCGCCGCACTGTGAAGCTGTCCGCAGCCTCTGCAGCGCGGGTTCGATCCCGGCCAGCAGGGGAGGGTTCCACATGGAGCGGCAGACCTCTTCTGTCCTGCCCGCTGCTCCCCTCAGCAGTGTATTTCGTCAGTCTGCCTGTTCTGTTCCCCGCTCTGTCCCTGGTGAATCTTCTCACCCTCCCGCAAATCTGGCCTGAACCCCAGTTCTTGTATAAAAATAAATAAATCTTAAAAAAAAAAAGTCTTTCCTGGACAAATGTCTGTGTATTATGCTCATGTATGTGCATCAAATCTGATTTTTTTGGTGACTGTTCTGTCTCTGGCTGCATCATATTAGTGGAGGGACCTTTACAGGGACTTTGAGTTATCACTGCAGCGGCAGGGAGCAGTCACTCCCATACTTTACCATCATTATGATTTTGCTACTCTTAAGCTGTTGTGGAACATGAATAAAGCTCACCTCCTGTATGATCCTTTCAAGTAACATTCATCAAAAAACACCAAAGTCTAAAGCAAGAGTAAGTCTGAAAGCTCTGATGGGTCTATTTATGGACAATCAGAAGAGTCTATTACTAAAGAGTACTGGGATACATTAAGCCATTGGCACCAAACTCCTGTTTTACAGGAAGGTTGCCATATTAGGAGCTAACAAGGCTCATAAGGTGGTACCCCATGGGATCTGGGGCAATCTGCACAGACCAGATCACTCTGGTTCTCCCAGCCTCAGTGGTGGCCAGGCATCCACTGAAGAGGACTTGTCTTCCCCTTCCATTCTGGTCTTTCTGCTTCCAACACTCATACCCACCCCACCTTTGTACAGAACATCCAGACTGAGTCTCACACAGACACTCATTCAGTCTCAGTGATATTCACCCAGCAATTCCTGGCCCGAAATGAGTCACCCTATTCTTATAACCCTTAGAGGTTGTTTCATGACCTCTTTTTTAACCAATAGCCTCTAAATCTATGGTTTCTTCCTGGGAAGAGGGATGAAATACAGGGTCCAAACTGCCACCTGAATATTTCACATCAATATTTTTAATCATGGAATTTAGAATTAGACTATATATAAACTGTATACAAATCAGACCACACAAATTCAGATCACATGATTTAAAATATCAGCCGTCCTCCCTTATCTACAGGGGATGTGTTCCCAGGTTCCCCAGTGGATGCTGAAAGATCATAAAGTGCTGAGCCCTGTATTTTTTTCATTCATTCATATATATATATACACACACACCAAAGACAAAGTAATTATTAAATTAGGCATGGTAAGAGATTAGCATTAATAACTCATCATAAGATGGAGCGATAACAATACCCTGTAAGTTATGTGAATGTTGTCTCTCTCAAAATTATTGTGACATTTTCTGACCATGGTCGCCCATAGGTGATTGAAACCTCAGAAAATGAAAATGCACGTAAGGGGGGCCCACTGCAATTTACAGTCACAAACGCATTATTTAAAATATAATAATAAAAAATTCAAAGAAAAGGCACTCACGGCTCTGAACTTCTTAAGTTTGAACGCCATCCACGAGGTTTGAATCTCCCTCCTGTTCTGAGTCTGCTGCTCACAGGCCTGGTTGGAGAAGCCGAAGGAAGAATTGAGGGGTTCCCTAGCAGCCGCCCACACAAGGAGGCGCCCCTCACCCCGTTGGGGCATTTCATATTCCCATTCTCAGCAGCCACCAAAGAAAGGTGAAAGCTATAGGAAGCAAGGTGGGTGGGGCTTGGTAAAAGGGGTGTGTGTTGTTTCAGGAGGAGGCTGACAATGAGCGCTTGTTCACAAAGGGCTGTCACCTGCTGGGCCTCTCGCTGCCCAGTGGCCCTGCCCCACAAGATTTGTGATAGACCCAAAAGTGTGAAATTCTTACCCACCCATCCATCCATGCAGTACATCACTCACTGGATCGACAAACTCCTAAACTCATCCTCAGGGTTTTCACCTGTTACACGGGGAATTTAGCTCTGCCTTGCCTAACTCGGAGAGGAAAACTTAGTAAGATAACAAGAGGAAGGGGCTTTGTAACTGTAAAGAGTCACATGATTGTGTGGCAGCTGGACTGCAGGAATACCACACACACAGGCATCCCATCTGAATACGCATCCCCTCCCCCACATCCTATCCCTTCAACCAGTGTTCGGGCCTCAACAAGGATTGGTCCATTTATAGCATACATATTGATGGAACTGACCCGGAAAGATGCTATATGCACAAACTTAAAATATCACCAGCCACTGCAGCACAAGCTTGATGCCCCACCAGGGAGCTGACCCACATGGCGCAGCAGACCTCTCCTGTCTCGCCTGCTGCTCCCCTCAGCAGTGTATTTCGGTAGATCTGCCTGTTCTGAATCCTCTCACCCCCTGCACCTCTGGCCTACACCCCAGCTCTTGTATGCATTAATAAAATAAATCTTTAAAAAATATACCATAAACTCTACCTCTTTAGATACTCCTCACATTTTTCATAAAATCTAGAAGGAACATTCCCAGGCGAAGTTCAGGGGTGGTATAGCCTGTTCTTTCTCTTACTCTTGCAGAACTACCTACATTAACCCACACCCCTATGTTGTCCGCCTTACTTCTTGCCTCCCAAACAGTGCCCTCTCACAACTTCCTTCTTAAAATATCCATTTCCTAGAAATCCAACTGCCTGAAAGCGCCTTGGCTTCCCTGAGTGCCCCTGCCTCCCCACTTACCCACCCCACCCCACTCCCGCCTTGGAGAGCAAGGCACAGCAGGGGCAGGAGAAGGCCACCCTCGTCTTTGACAGGGCAGCTGCGGGGCTCATGGTGCTTCTGAGCAGCTGAGGAAGCAGAGCAAGGGCCTGGGCACAGAGCAGAGTCCCCTCAGGGCAGGCTCCAGGAAGGGACAGGCCTGGGAAGCAAGGCGGGCAGGTTGTGTTCCGGGAGATTCTGGACAGGAAGCTGGTTGTCCAGGGCTCAGCCCCAGATGTTGCAGAAGACTTGGATTGGTGCCACCGTGTCTTTGCACTTTCTGGAGAACCCAGACTGTCTGGATTTATGCGAAATTTATCATTAAAAAAACAAAACTGGGCAGGCCAAACAAAGCAGGTTAGTGCACTGCCAGTGTTGGTCCTGCAGGCTGGTGGAGGCCCAGTGTTTGGGGAGTCTGCCACATGGTGCCCTGATCTTTGAGTCACCTAGTGCTTCTCTCCTCTGCGCTCAGCCAGGCAGAAATCCTTCACAAAGTGGAGGGACATAGCGGCTCCAGAGAGGGTGGCAGGGCCCTAGAGATGGCTCTGATAGACCAGGACACCCAGGGGCCCAGATGCCCATGTCCCTTCCTTAAGCCTTCCCCTCTGAGTCACCAGCCTGGAAACATGAGGTGTTCAGACCTGTGTGGAAAGTCCCGGCCTTGCCTTGTTTGTTCCAGCCTCCCCAGCTGGCAAGAAGCTGCCAGGGACTGAAGCAAGTCAAGCGAAAAGTAACCTGGCCGTGGGGCTCTCAGCTGTCCAGGCTGGGCCTGGGTCCTGGGCCTCCCACCACCCTTGGGATAAAAACCCCAAAATAACACCTAAACCTCTGTTTGCAATCATTAAAGATTTCTCTGGGTCTAGGGCACTGATAATTTGCAACCGTTCAATAGGTCCACTGACAGGGCCGATCCCCTTGGAGTTGGTCAGAATTCAGGAAATGTCAAATATGTGTCACATTTTTGTGAGAAATGTGAGCAAGCTCGCTAAAAGCCCAGGATTTCTCTTGTGCCTTTTCCAGACATCAATTCCATTTCTAATCAGACACATCAGAAGTGGTTTTCAAAAGAATTGTTTGGTCCTGTGTCCTAAAGTCCTAGACTCCTAGATTTGGGGCAGTTTTACTTCACTTCTCAACAAGATTAGCCTTGTGGAACCTACCTCCAAAGGTGGTTGGTGGATTTGAATGAAGATGGGCTATGTGAAATTAACAAGTGTTACTAAGTATAGTAATAAGGCTGTTTATAGTGTTACTTGGGGTGCCTAGTAACAAGCCCCAGACAACCACAGTTTCTGGATACAGACCACACAGGATGACAATGGTGATGGAAATGTGGTGGGGAAAGTGGGGCATGAAGTCTGACACTCAGTCATAGTGATATTAGCACCAGTGAACTCAGGAAAGCTTGGCTTACATCATAGCTAATACGTGAGTAAAGCCGTCTATTTCACAAGTCATGTGACAAGAAGATGAATATAAAGCATGATAGTGTCTGGTACATAGCAGGGGGTCAGTAATTAGCTATTGTTCCATTTATTTCTGGTTATGAATCTATTAAATAGATGTGGGACCTTGAACTGTGCGGTGTGGGCAGCCAGAGAAGAAATATGCCCGTCTACTCTCATTTCAGGAAATGGGCCTTTTCCCATTTTGGGGTCACTGCACAAGTCAGAGTCATCCACTTTGTTAAGTCTGGCCAAATTCCACTTCTTTCCAGAATCTCCTGCGGTAACCTCTCCTGATCCAGGCACTGTGTATCCCCTCACCCTCTCGCTAGAAAATTGGCAAAGCCCTCTTCTCCCCCATTAACATTAGGTCCTATCCTGTGTATAATTCCATGAAGACCTTTGTTCAATAAAATTGTTCTATTGCCATATCAATAATTTATAGGTAACATAGAGGCTCAACATGTTTACATTGGAGCAAATCTTGGAAAATTTCCCTCCAGGGGTAAGAACAAAGAGGGACCAAAGCTGGCTGTGGGTGAGCTGCTGTGTGCAGTATGGCGGTGATACCTGACGAGGGCATCCAAATATTGCTTCAATTAAGAATTAAAAAAACAAAAAATAATCCAGCCACTGCTTTTCAGTGTCTACAAATAAAACAGACACAAGCAGAATGGTTTGATCTAATCTACTCTCCATGCTAATCTCCCTTCCACCCAGGATAACTGGGGGCGGGGGTGAGGTTCTGTGAATCCCTGTGACTCCTGACTTGCAGTTTGAAACCTGATAGCCATCAGAGGTTGTCCAGGCACTCTGCAGCAAGCCATCAGGGGCAGCCAGCCAGCCAGCCCTTGGGGTCTTTTGCTAAGGAAACAGGGACCACTAATCCCTCTTCCTCACTGTTAGCTGATGACACTGCTTCTAAGCTTGTTGAGAAAATGGAGGTCCTGAGAAGCCCCGCCTAGCCCCCAACAAGGTTAACGGCTCTCCAGCAGCTGTTCCCGTATCCTCTGCCCCCCGCCTGCACAGACTGGACACTCTGGCCCCTGTCACACATTACTGCTTCCTAAACCTCCCCCCTCATCTGCTGCAGGGCAACTTTCCTGAAAGTAACCCCCCCCACCCATACACACACAATTCCTCCCCCTGGGGGGATCTTTCTCATTGGCATATAACTTGCTGGTTTCACCCATCTTTAGAAATCACACCCTCTTTGACAGCAAATGTCCCCCTAGCTACGGTCTCATTTTTCTTGCTCCTTTTTATAACAAAATTCCTTGATTCAGCCATATTCTGTCTTCTCTTTCCTCCATTCTATTCTCTCTGAACACATTCTTCCCAGACGTTGGCTCTCATTATGCCACTAAAAGAGAAGACCAGATCTGGAAGAAACTTGAGCCAGGACTGACAGGTTATGGCACTTGGTTAACAACAAAGTTTACTTGGGCACCGTCTGCATGGAAATGAGCTCGCCTAAGGAAATGTTAATGAAACTGCTACCATTCAATCCAGAAGCTCTGCTTTGCCTACTTTTCCTCTCATTATGTTGTGAGCATATTTTTTGGTCATTAAATTTGCTTCAAAGTGATTGACTGCAACTTACAAATGCCTCATCCCCGATCTGCTGACAGCTTCTGCTGGAGGGTCAGGGGAAGCTGAGCTTTGCACCCCAGCCCTCATGGCGCCCTGTACAACCAAGGGCAGAGCTCCACCCCTGAAGAGCTGTACCACCCACCCAAGCTGGACAAGAGAGGCCTGTGCCATTCCACAATCTGGACTCTGTCCCCATGTCCTGAGCAAGAGGGCTGCTGGGAAGGGGTGGGGCTGAGCAGCCATTTTGTGAGCCTTTAAAAAGGAGCAGTGCCAAGTGGACGGCTTTCTTTTGAGCTTAGCCCACTCCCCTCACCCCTGCAAAGTGAAGGCCCCAATGTCTGTAGCAGCGAGTGTCTGCTATGCTCTGCCAGCTTCTATAGCTGCATCTCCACGTGGCACCCGTGATCTCAGTAACTGGACCCTCTTCCTTCCCCTCTAACCTGTTGTTTAGAAGGGGCTTTTTTCCTTCTCCTGCACCAAAGACACTTCAGTTTGCACTTATGGCAAGTGGCCAGACCCAGAACCAGCAAGAGGTCCTGACTTGGTGACAATTTTTGGATTCTTTGCCTATAAGACTTTCCAGCTAAAGGAGTTGCTAAATTGTTCATCTTCTTCCCTGACAGTATAGAATTTTATAGAGGTAGACCCCTGAACCAGATGGTACCCTCCATTTGTGGGTACCACCCTAAGGGGGATGTGGTGCCATGCACTTAAAGTCCCCAGAAGAGGGAATAGCATGGCCACCACCTACAGCCTGAACACAATGCCACAGGTACTCCAAGGCCTGGACCTCCCTCCTATCTCCAGTGTCTGCAAGAGGT